CAGAGGATATTGCTAATGAATATTTGCAGATTTTAAATGACCCTAAAAATACTTCTATTTCAAATCCTAATATACGTCACCATGTTAAAAATAACTATTCATCTCAAAAGATCAGTGGAATTGTAACATTAATGCATAAAAAGAAATCGTCAAATAATTGGAAACCTGTAGCTTTAAAAGAAAGATTATACTATATTATCACAGAGAAGCATCTGGCTATTGAACATGGGGGCGCATGAGCTACTTTATAAACAAGTATCAGATAAATATCATGGTATAAAAGATAATTGGTTGATAAATTTGTTGAAATGTGTAAAACATGTAAAACATGCAGATTATCTAGCAAACCTTTAGCCATAAAACCTATTATTAGCAAGTTTTTTATACAACGGCTTCAGGTATAAGATGATTTTTTTTTTAAAAAAAAAGGTTTTTTTTTTTTTAATTAAAAAAAAATTAATAAATAACTTTTTTTTTTTTTTACTAGATTGATCTTATAGATATGCGAACTAGAAGAGATGGTAAATTTAAATGGATAGCACATGCCAGAGATCATTTCTCACATTTTTCCTGGGGCCACATTCTTACTGATAAATATGCAGCAAAGGTGGCTGTATTCTTGTTTGACATTTTTACTGTATTTGAACTACTGATCTTTCTTCAAAGTGATAATGGGTGTGAATTCACTGCAGATATTATTAACAATCTCTCAAAGCTCTGGCCAAATCTTAAAATAATCCATGGAAAGCCGAGAAGGCTGCAAACCCAAGGTTCTGTAGAGAGGGCAAATTTTGTATTAAAGGACAAACTTGGAAAATAGCTTGAGGATCGATAAAATGAAAATGATAATTTATGTTGGACAGTTGGCTTGGCAACTGTAATTTATTCAATGAATTTATCTGTATGTTGTGCTACTAATAAAAGACTATTTGAGTTGGTTTTTGGTCATGAGCCTCGTGGCAATTGTGTTCTTTTAGATCAGCTTTGGTCTCAAGGAATTCGATATGAAGAAAATATTCCTGATGACGTTGAAATTGAAGACTGTGAT